TGTTTACCATAAATGTGTTTTCATCATTAACAGGGTGTAGTAGACCTTCTACAAGACAAGACTGATTATGTGTCATGTTAGGTAGGTATATGTTCTGTCTACATATAAAATGTACACCTATGACCCACCCCCCAACCACACACACACAAAACCTGTTCCTTATCTAAGCCCTATACAGGTATAGAAAAGAATCTTTAACAAGACTGCCTTTTAAGAAATTCTGGTATATTTACTTTTTTTCAACTGTCATTAATTAAAGTGATTTGAATACAGGAATTCTGAGTTGCTTCATCTGAGAATTTTCTTTTTAAAATAATTCAGAGTAGAATGGAAAAAATAAGGAATAGAGATATTGGCCATGCACTCTCAGGAGAAGAAGGGAAATGGAGAAAAATAAACCAAAGCCTTAGAATTAACTATGCCAGCAAATGACAAAGGGAACAAATCAGAGTTCTGTACTATGTTCTAAAATTAGAAAAACTCAGCCTAAAGGGGTTTGAGAAGTACTTAACTATGATCAGCAGAGTAAAGACGTTTTAAATCTTTGCCCATATGTTAAGCATCCAAACAATCTAAGGAATGTGAGTGGGGAAAACAGACGACATTTTCTTTTTATTTTGTATAAAGATAATTCTAAAAAGGGGGCTGGAGGTGTGGCTCCAGGTAGAGCACCTGCCTACCAAGTATGAAGCCCTGAGTTTAAACCATAGTACCACTAAAAAAGGAAAAAAGAAAATAAAAACAAGAATGTATTGCTTCACAACAATACACACAATATTTCTATGGGACTCTGGGTGAACCCTTACAAGACTCAACAATGCCAGCTTATAAAATCAGCCTGGTAATGCATAGAAGAACACACACACACACACACACACACACACACACAAACACACACCCCTACTAATACTTAGGGTAACCATATAGTTTACTGTCAAAACCAGGACACTCTGGAGAATGAAACAGGGAACACTTAATAATTTCACAAGGAAACACATAAACTGGGACTGTTTAGGGCAAACCCAGAGGTCTAACTGCCCTACAAGTATTAGATACATCTATACAGACTGTTTGTTTTAAACTAAGGGAAGAAAAGAGTTTAAAATTTTCTACAAGCAATAAAATTGCAGCACAGTCATTATTGCTTACTTAGCATATCATCTTTAATATTTTACTTAATACTTGGGGTTTAAATGGCTTCCCCTGAATCTTGATTTCTTTTATTCTATTTCCCCTAAGTCTTTGCCTCCCTCACAATGAAAGAAAGATCTTACATTCCTCAACCAGGTATTTCCTTTATACAATGTTTCCAGGAATGTAATATGCACAGTGGGGGTTTACACAAGTATTTCCACAAATCCTAAGCTATTTCATTTGTCTTAACAATGTCCTGAGGGAGGGAAAACATTATTATCTACATTTTGTAAACAAGAAAGCTAAGGCACAAAGGCTCAATGCCCAAAGTCAAACAATTATTCACAGCTATTTAAGACGAGAAGCCAAGTCGTGGGCTCTAATGAAGTCATGCCCCAATATCATGGGGTTCAGCATCTAAAGCCTTTCTCCTTTGCCTGCCTTTCTTCAGTGACATACATTGCTGAGGTTTTATCTTCGTGGTGGTATCCCATTCTAGTAACCCTAATATAAAAAAATTCTAAAATCCTTAACAAAAAGTAGATAATTATCTGCATTACAAAGAATTCCACCTCAAGAGGGAGAAAAAATTGTGACAGACATCAACTCAAGAAAAGTATGACTGAGGGTAGGGCGGGTGGGAGAGCAGTGTGGCTCCGTGGTAGAGCATTTGCCTAGCATGTGTGAGGCACTGGGTTCCATCCCCAGCCCTGAAAAAAAAATACAGTATGAAAACTCAGGAAAATGTGATTTATCTACAACTTTCTAGGAGAATATTTATTTTATAAATAAAATAAGTATAGTTATTTATGCAAATAAATAAGTACTTTCATATTATCTCACTGGATTCATATAAAAACCCTGCAAAACAGGCAACTTTAAAGATAAGAAATCTGAACTCATAAAGAGTCAGTAACCTATGCAAAGTCTCATTGATAGTAAATGATCAAGCTGGAACTGGGACTAGCTGAAGGTTTCTTAGTACTAAAAGGTCAGAATTCAAGCCTAGTTCATCTGTAAAATGTGTGTGTTCAGCGGCTGGAGTGCAACTCAGGAGGAGAACATGTGCTTAGCATGCACAGGCCCTGAGCTCAATGCCCAGCACCACAAAATCAAAAATAAATGAATGTGGTCATTCCCTTGAGGAAAAGAGGGATAAGAAAATTAGTTCCTACCTAACTTTAGAACTCTGAATACAAAAGCATGTCTGCTCCCAATCAACATATTATTTTTTAAAATGAGAAACTAAGACAAGTCTAATACAAAGGCAAGTAATACAAAGAACTAAATACTTAGGGCAAAAACACATGAAGTTACCAAAGTTAAGACATGTCATCACTGAAGAATACAGCACTGTTTTTCCAAGCAATAAAACCCAGAAGTTACCCAACAAATCTAAACTCCAGAACCGTTTGGCTTTAATAAGGATACTAAAATGATCCTCTGAAAAGTATGATTCACAGAGAAAGACTGGGTATTTTAGGAACAAAGAAGCGTAAGCTCTGTACTTTGAGAGAGCAAGCAGAAAAAATTTAAGCCTTAGAAATATTCACTCATGGAGATTAATAGAGGGGTTTAACCAAACTGGGGAATAATACAGGTATATAGGGAAGTATGTCACAATGAAACCCCCTGTATAATTGTCATATACTAATAAAAATGTTTTTTATAAGTTCACTCTCATTTACTAATGGCCTCACTTTTGGAACTACAGGCTAAGAAAATAAAAAGAATAGAGCAGCTGGGTGTATAAAATAAAAATAATAGAGCATCTGTAATCCCAGCACTTGGGGGAGGCTGAGGCAGAAGGACTACAAGTTCTGAGGACATTCTGGGATACATAATGAGACTCTGTCTCAAAAAAAAGGAGGAGGAACTGAGGGAGGGAGGGAAGGAGTGAGTGAGGGAGGGAGAGACGGAGGGAGGGAGGGAGGGAAAGAGGAAGGAAGGAAGGAAAAACTAAATTTGCTGGGCTAGTGGCTCAAGTGGTAGAGCACCTGCCTAGCAAGCACAAGTCCCTGAGTTCACACTCCAGTACCACTAAGAAAATAAATAAAATGGGGTAATTAACAACACGTGTCATAACAGTTTTCATTTACTGATTCAATAAAAATTTACTGAGTGTGTACTTTGTTAAATACTATTCTAAAACTGGAGCTATTGCAATCATCAAAACAAAAAAATCCTGACAATGTGGTGCTGATACTGCAGTAGGAGAGATGGACAAATACAGTGACGTCAGATGGGCATAGTAGGTGAAGAAATAAATCCACTAACAGAAAGAATGCTGATAAAAGAGGGTGAGGGAGGTAGAGTATGCAAAGTACTGTTTTATATAGGGTGGTCAGAAAAGTTCTTCATGAACTAGTTATTTGAGTTCTAAAAAAAAACAGTGTCGGAACAAACCATGGAGATACCTAGAGGAAGAATGTTCTAAACAAAAGGAATAGAAAAGCAACAATTATTAAGTTCACAATGCATGCGAGATTTCCAAGAGGAAACATCAACAAGGTGGTCAGAATTGAGTCTGGAGTTCAGGGGGAGGACCAGACTTGAGCTATAAATACCAGAGATCACCTAGAAAGTAAGAAGAGAGAGAAGAATAGAACTAAAGACAGATCCCTGGAGTCATACAGAGAGACTGAGAAGAGCAAGGGTAGGAAGAGAAACTAAGAAAGAACAGCCAATGATGGACAAGTAAAAGAGTGCTGCCCCAGGCATGAAGTGAAAAAAAAAGTTTTCAGGAAAGAAGTAATCAACTTTTGTTGAAGGTCAAGTAACAGGGCGCTATTTGAGTTACGAATGTGGATATGCCAGACTATAAAAATGTCCTCCCTCCCTCCCTCTTCCCTTTTTTTTTTTTTGCAGTACCAGAGATTGAACTCAGGGCTTTGTGCTTACTAGGCACACACTCTACATCTGAGCCATGCCATAGTTGGAATTCTTTGCAACGACAAATTCTTTGGCATGAGAATCTAGGGCCCACTCTTGAATTTGGGCTTGGCTGTGTGAGTTGTTTTGGCCAAGAGGACTTTGGCAAAGAGACACAAGCAAAAGCTTACAAAATGCTTGTACACTGGACTGAGGCTGCACCTCTCTTTTGCTACTAGAATCTCTTTCACTACCATATAAATGAACATGGCCTTTGCCCCAGCTGATATCAAGCCACCAGACATCTAATGATGTCATTCTAGGCAGAAGACCAGCCAGGTCAGCCCCAACGAAAACCAATCCATAGAATTATGAACAATAAGATGGTTTTTGTTCTAAGTCACTAAGTTTGGGAATGGGTTATTATGAGCCAAAAACTAATTGATAAAGAGGAGAATATTGGTAACACATAAGAGCTGTTTCAATGGAGCAGTACATATAAGAATCCAACTGGAGCTGGATTAAAAAGTAAATGGCTGCAAAGAATGGAGCACAAGTGTAGGCTGACACCAACTGAGCTTCTGAAGCATCTCTAGTTTACTAGATGCTCCCTACCTTTTACACAGTGGCAAAGTCCTACTGAAGCACTTTCCTTGGGGCATCCAATTATGCCTGACTCATGTACAACCCCTCACACGATTTGCAGGTGATGGAGGGATCTGGGAACTACATACTCTGCTCCTTCACTGCTAATAAGTTTTACCAATAAACGTGAGTGTGGGAATGTGTGTGGGGATGAGTGTGTGTCTGCATGTGCATAAACACATCTCTTTATAGGGTATCTAACCATCTCCTGGCGAGCCTTGCCATGCTCAGTACTTTTCACCTTCTATGTAAATGCTCTATCTATCCAAGGACAGTAATCACATTCAAAATTACTTATAAAAATTTCAAAAATGACTTTTTAAAATGTCAATGATATGTAAATAACTTACTTGGCAATTCGCAGTTTCCCAACTTCACCTCTTCCAGGGGCTTTAGCCCACTGTTGTGATAAATATTTAGGAACCTGAAATGAAGCAAAACATTTCACAAATGATGAATATAGGGTACCCAGGGATTATACGATTTACCCAAGGTTATACATATAATCAGTAAATTAAACCCAGGCAGTCTCCAGGCTCTATGTTCTAAGACCTGCATTCTTAACCAGAACATTATATTGTGCCTAAATAATAAACTGGACACATGTAATCAGAAGGGTTTTAATTCTAAAAAAGGAAAGTGGAATAATACATATTGAATCTCTACTATGTACCTTAACCTGTATCTTCTAAGAAGTTTGGACTCTGGAATCAGTACATACCTTTAAGGTTATCCGATTATGAGAAGTAAATGAGAACTTTATATGAAGAATGAGGCATGATGCCTTACACAGAGTAAGTACTCACTAGGTGTTGGGTGTCATTACTATTTCTCACAATAATCTTGGAATAACAACACAAACACAAATGTATAACTGAATCAGAGATAACTGTTAAAGCTGGGAAGGAAAAGGCATACCTAGCAAGATTTCATTTGAAAAACAATTTTTAAAAAAGCTTGACTATTAATAGTCAAATAAGTTGCAGTACCCTGAATACATAAAAAATTCAAAAATACAAGGGTAAAAAGAAGAGCCTGGTGGTATTTTTCAACTATATATGCATTCTTCACACTAACTTACTGAACTACTACCATGTGTCAGACAATATGCTAGAGGTTGGGAAGAGAAAGAGAAAGGAAGCAAATAATGTCATATACCATGCTGGACATTCTACATCAATTGTCCCACTTAATAATTCCAGTCACCCTGAAAATCCACCATCATTCTCCTCACTCTACAAATAAAGTGAATGGAGTGTGAAGGGGTGAAACTACAGTTAGCTAGTATCAGACACAAGGCTTGACTTGAGTTTGGTCTGATGTTCCCTTTACGAACCCACACTGCTTTTCATGAGGGTATTCATGCCATAGACTATGCATAGAGATCTAAGGGGAAGGGAGTTTTGAAGATTACACATATTAACAAAATTTCAGCTATACGGCATTCCACTCATTCAAACAAGATAAGAGGATTTGGCAAACTACTTATTACTGTAAGCACCTACCCATTAAGTCTCCTTTGATTATGGAGAAAATTCACTTAAACATAAAGATTTATTTACTCAAGTAACTAAGAGTTCCAGAGGTGGCTTTAAGGTGGCTTGAGTAAGGGCTCAATGATGCTATGAGGACTGTCACCATTTCTTCTCTCTTCTCTCCCCCATTCTGACTCTACTTTTGTGTAACATCATGGCTGAAGCAGCTCCTAAAGAGGAGTCTCATTCCTAAAGTCCATAGCCAAAATCTGTTTCTCGTGGCACTAACTGGGTCACATGCCCATCCCTGGGCCTATCACTATACTCGGAGATGAGATACTTTCACTGGCCTGCCAGAGTTAATGACATCTTTGGGGAGGGGTACTCAGTACCATTAGAAACACACAGACTGAAAACCCAGTGGTAATTACCATAAGTAAAACCAAGGTGCTCTTACAATGTTAGAGTAAATGGATACTGATTAGCTAAAAGCAATAAATGGTGCTGGGAAAACTGGGTATCCCTATGTCATTCCAGAAGAATGAAACTAGACCCCTATATCTCTCATCAGTTACAAAAATCAACTCAAAATATATTAAAGATTTACATGTAAATCACAAAACAATGAAACTCTGGGAAGAAAACACAGGGAAAACGCTACAGGACAATGCAATTATTGAAGACTTTTTTGAACAAGACACAGCAAGCACTGGTAAATGAGATTATACCAAACTAAAAGCCTTTGTACAACAAAGGAAATAATCAACAAAGAGACAACTTACAGTATGGGAGAAAAAAAATACAAATTATACATCTAACAAGGAGTTAGTATCCAGAATATATAAGTAACAAAAAAACCTCTATAGCAAAAATAGTAATAATAATAACTTGATTTTTAAAATAATAATGCACTAAGTGGCTATTTCTCAAAAGAAGACATACAAACGGCCAACAAGTATATGGAAAAACCCAATATCACTAATTATCAGACAAATGCAAACTGAAACCACAGTGAGATATAACTTTGCTTCCAAAAGAATGACTATTAATCAAAAAAAAAACAAAAAAATAACAAGTGCTAGAGGATGTGGAGAAAAGGGAATCCTTGTACTTTGTTGGTAGGAATGAAAATTAGTACAACTATTATGGAAAACAGTATGGAGGCTTCTCAAAAAATTAAGAAAAGTACCATACAATCCAGCAATCCTATTCCTGGGTATATATCCAAATGAAATGAAATCAGTATGATGAACAGACATCTGCACACTCATGTTTACTGTAGCACTATTCACAATAGCCAAAAAACAGAAATAACCTAAAAGTTCATTAAACTGATGGACAGATGTGTATGTGCATATTATGTGTACGTATATATAAAATATTTTCATTATCCATTTAAACATATAATGGAAATACTATTCAGCCATAAAAAAGAATGAAATCCTGTCATTTGTGACAACATGAATGGAACTGCAGATCACTAGACTAAAAGAAGTAAATCAGGCACAGAAAAACAAATGGTGCATGATCTCACTTATATGTGAATTATTAAAAAAAATAAGTAAGTTGAACCTGAGCCAGATGCCAGTGGTTCATGCCTATAATACTAGCTATTTGGGAGGATGGGATCAGGAGGATAGACATTCAAGGCCAGTGCATACAAATAGCTCATGAGACCCCATCTCCAAAATAACCAGAGCAAAAAAAAAAAAGGGACTGGAAGCATGGCTCAAGCAGTAGAGTGCCTTCTTTGCAAGCACAAAGCCCTGAGTTCAAACTCCAGTACCACCAAAAAGAAAAAGAAAAAAAAGAAAGAAACTGAGTGTAGAATAGTGGTTACCAGAGGCTGGGGAGGACAGGGAGGAGAAAAGAATGAGAAAGGCTGATCAATAGTTACTAAATTGCAGTTAGGAGTAAGACGTCTTTGGTGTGCTATTGAACAGTATGGTGACTATAGACAGGATGGAATGTATATCTCCAAAACTAGAAGAAATTATCTTGAATGTTTTTGCTATAAAAAAAATGATGTTCGAGAAGAATGATTATTATTAACCTGGTTATATGATGTATTTATGTAACATCATATGGAGCTGAGAGGCAGTGGCTCAGACCAATAATCTTAGCTACTTAGGAGGCTGAAATTAGGAAGACAGCAGTTCAAGACCAGGCTGAGCAAATAGTCTCAAGACTCCATCTCAATAGAAAAAAAGCTGGGTGTGGTGGCATGTGCCTGGCATCCCAGCTATAGCAAGAAGCATAAAATAGGAGGTTCTTAGTCCAGGCCAACCTAGGAAAATAGTGAGACCCTAGCTGCAAAATAACCAGACCAAAAAGGGCTGGAAGTGTGGCTCAAGTGATAGAGTGCCTGCCTAGCAAGTGCTCAGCCCAGAGTTCAGGTGAAAAAACAATCATATGTATGAATTTTGTGTTTTTATATGTAAGTTGAAATTTTTGATAAAATATATAAAATTAAAACAGCACCTACGTGAGAACAACAAAAGCAGCAGCAAATGTTTACAACTAAATCCAAGATCTCTACAAATTCTGTTACATCAAATAAAATCTGTGAATCCTTAGGCTGTATAAATTATTACCTTATGGCCTCAGTCTTGAAATACTGCCTAGCAAGGCAGCCCTTGCTTCTTGCTTTGTCTTTGATTTTTTAACTCCAGGGAATATACAAGTTAATTACTCTAATGCAAGGAAAAATTCCTCTTTAGATATCAGTCCACTCCATCAATCCATCACAAGCTATATTCCTAAAAGAGTCTTTAGGAAAAAGATGGTATATTATCTTCGTAACATTCCTAGTTAATGGCTCAATACCCTATTTCTTGATACCCTAAGACTTTCTCATTATTAACAGTATTCCTTCCATAACCTGTATTTCAAGCAACCATTCTATCTCCTGACTTCCCAGCTCTCTCCTCAGTATTTGAATTCCAGTAATTCTTCCACCTTTTCAATTCTCTGACTAATTAAAATCTGTCGTTACTTCTCTCTTTAATAAAGCTAGAATTCCCAGTCCATCACTGTAATCATTCCCTTACCCCTCCACCATACCAGCCCAGCAGAACCTCAATCTTGATTAAAATGTCATCTCCCTCCACATCCGCACCTGGGCAGCTGAAGGAACACTCAAAATCCTGCTAACTGGTCTCCTTTAAACCCATGGTTATGCACATCAAGTAAGTAAGCCCTTAGAGATGCCTGGCAAGCTAACCATGGCTCCCTGGTCAATTCAATCCCCTACTCTTCAGATGACTCTAGCATTCTAGTCACTTCTCGGACCTACCTTACTTTCTCCTCCCTCAGTGCTGATGACTGAACTTACTCTTCCAATGAGGAAAGACAAAAGAGAACTTCTAAATCTGCCACTTAACCAAGTTGGATCTTTTTACTCTGCTTTCCCCCTTTTGAAGCAATGGATGAACTGAGGCCAATCCCTCTACTTGTACACACTCAATTTCTTTCCCTGTTGTCTAATCAAAGACATCTTTCCTTTAATTCTATTTTCTCTTCTCTATCTCTTTCTCTACATCCCATCAGAATGATAATAGCGGCCAACACTCATAGTGTACATACTAATGTGGCAGGATATTCTAACATGGTCCCAAATGATCTGCACCTGCTGATAACACACCCTTGTGTTTTATCCCCTTTCCTTAAGTGTGGGCAGAATCTGAGAGTCTTGGCAAAGGGTGGGAAGTTGCTTCTCTGATTACATAAGATTGTGTCTTCTGTACTGCCTCCTTTCTCATTGCTTTCTCAATTTGTATAACTTTGATGATAGAGCTGCCATGTTGGAGTAGCCCATCTGACAAAAAACTAAGAGCAGATTCTAAGAGCCACCTTAAACTCACTCCAACAACTCCATAGGAAATGAAATCTGACAAAATGACATGCATTCAGAAGCAATCCTTCCCCACTCAAGGTTAAAAGTGAGAAT